TTTTTGCACCTGAAGGAGGGGCAGAAAACCACATATATCAACCGCTGGACCTACGCTCGCGCGGCACATGCTCCTATAGAGATACGCCAGAACAGTAGCACCCCAGCTGTACTGGGGTAGCTCATCCAGCTGCTCAAGACAATGAAGAAAGCGCATACTCACTTTGTTCCCCGAGGTGTCCGGAAACAAGACACACCCGAAAAGCAGGAGCAACGCCAACCGAGTGTACCGCTGAATCCAAAGATGCTCTGTCTCGTGGGTAATATCTGGGTGCAATACCTCCATCTGATCTCTAATGAATGATAAAGCCACGCGACTGCCACCCCGGTCACCCTGCGGTCTCAAACCAGTCAACTGCCCCATCATGTCCGCCAACTGTGCACGAGTCATCCCTCTCCGGTGGTGGGGCAGTGCGAAGGCGCGTCCCTCTACGCGCAGTCCGTATAAAACCTGGACATCCTGCAGCGTGATAGTAGCCTCTCCAGTGGGCAAGTAAAATGTATGCGTCTCCGGTCGCCACCGCTCTACCAAGGACGTGATGAGTGACCAATCAAGCTGCATCCGTCCAAGCTCAAAAATGGTATATAATCCCGTAGTCTGGAGGCTCTCTACTACGCGCTCATGGAAAGGATGCTCGGCAATAAACTCCCACAAATCATCAGGCCTCCTGGGGCGGAGAGCCTGCATCGATAGCTGTCCCTCCCAAACATAGGAGGACCTATGGTCGCCCTGCAGCACTAGTAGCTGATCCTCGGCAGGTCCAGGATGCGCAGGCGGAGGAAACGCCATGTCGTCTACTATAATTTAAACAAAATTAATTGTTTGTGTTAGTGTAATAAATTAAATAATTAAGTATGATTTTTGAATTGGAGATAATAGTTATGTATGGGTTCCAGGCTTGATTTTTGAGGCCCGGTACCACCGAATAATCCTTATTTATTAACCGTCTCAATTTCAACATTTTTAGAATTTTATTAACTTAATGAATTAAATTATAATTTTTTGTAATTGGAGATAATAGTTATGTATGGGTTCCAGGCTTGATTTTTGAGGCCCGGTACCACCGAATAATCCTATTATGCGTCTCAATTTCAACATTTTTAGAATTTTGTTAACTTAATAAATTAAATTATAATTTTTTGTAATTGGAGATAATAGTTATGTATGGGTTCCAGGCTTGATTTTTGAGGCCCGGTACCACCGAATAATCCTTAATTATTATGCGTCTCAATTTCAACATTTTTAGAATTTTGTTAACTTAATAAATTAAATTATAATTTTTTGTAATTGGAGATAATAGTTATGTATGGGTTCCAGGCTTGATTTTTGAGGCCCGGTACCACCGAATAATCCTTAATTATTATGCGTCTCAATTTCAATATTTTTAGAATTTTGTTAGCTACTGAGACTCTACGCTACAAGGCTCTACATTTTACAATGCTAAAAGGCTCTATATTTTACTTGCTAAAAGATACTATATTTTACTACGCTATAAAGCTCTACAATATGAACATAACATTAACAATACAAATAAACAAAATAAATAATATTATTTAACAATACAAATTATTTATCAAATTTTAATACAAATTATATAAGAATACAAATTATTTATCAATTTTAAGCATTTCTGGTCACAAACATAACATAAATTCGGGTATATAAATCAAATATAACACAAACAATCCGGTAGCATTTTTGGTCACAAACATAACATAAATTCGGGTATCAAATAAATCAATCCGGGTATATAAAAGATACAAAATTAAACACAAACATAACATAAATTCACATGGAAACATACTAAACAATACTAATATGCATGACTATACGAGTTTCGGCATAAACTAAATTGAAATACCTCGATGTAAATTTTTTGAATATTGTTGAAATTGAATTTTTGCACCCGAAACACGGTATCCAAAGCTTTTTGTATGTGGGACCTACATGCCTTGCTCTTTATGGGACGGGTGGGCCCGAATTTTTTTTTTAAAAATAAAACGGGGGGTGGGGGACCAGAAAGCTCTTGAGTTTGTTTTTTAATGGAGGGGGGCTGGAATGTCGGGGAAGATGGAAGAAGAAGAGCCTTATTTAATTAAGGCGATTCGCAGTACTATACTGCGAATCGCCTTAATTAAATAAGGCTGGGCCCAACTATTACATTAAACGCTGTGTTTTGTTAAAAAAATAATAAAAAACTACTTCGCATTATCATACAACGAATTGTTTTAACGGCAAAATTTCCGTTAACCCAATTCGCAGTATAGTACTGCGAAATATTCATTTTTGTGACTTTTTTTTTAAAACATTAAAAACGTACTTTGTTCTAAAAAATCATTAATTAAGTTTCGGACCCTCATTGAACCATCGCGAATTAATTATGCCACTTATTAGGCCCTAATTAAGTGAAAACGCTGAAGATTAGATATTTTCAGCCATCGTGTGGTGTAAGATCTTGTCAGGTGAGGTGTACATGTGGAAAAAGGGAAACATTAATTGACAATTAACGGATGTACGTGTAACCCCACATTGTCAGCGGGTGATATCATCCATTCCACAGGTTTGCTCTTACATTACACGCTCCACGAGAAATCATTCATTTATAACTGCAAAAAGTTTTAATGATTGAAGAGATGTGTTATAATGTGGTTACATTATGTTGGTGCTAAAATTCAAGTTGGTGAGGACTGTGGGGGAGACGGAGAACATTTTCAGTGATGATAGGGTTACATCACAGATTAACTCTTAGCCCATTTTTATTTGCTCCGCCGATAAATATGCTAATGCGACATATCAAAGGGGAGGTATCATGGTATATGTTATTTACAGATGATAAAGTATTGATTGACGAGACGTGTTGCAGGGTCAACTCTAGGCTGGAGGTTTGGAGACAGATCTTGAAATTTAAAGGTTTTAGGTTGAGTAGAACGAAAACAAAATACTTGGAGTGCAAGTTCAGTGATGGAACGCATGAAGCAGAGTGGACATAAAGCTTGTTACACAAGTCATCCCCAAAAGTGATAGTTTCAAATATCTTGGGTCTGTCATTCAAAGCAATGGGGAGATTGACGAGGATGTTACATATCGTACTGGAGCGAGGTTGATGAAATGGAGGCTCGCATATGGTGTTTTATGTGATAAGAATGTGCCACCAAGACTTAAGGGCAAGCTCTATAGAGTGGTAGTTAGACCGACTATGTTGTATGGTGCTGAGTATTAGCCAGTCAAGAAATTTCATGTCCTGAAGATGAAAGCAGTAGAAAAGAGGATGCTGAGATGGATGTGTGGGCACACCAGGAAAGATTAGATTAGGAATGAAGTTATTAGGGACAAGGTGCGAATGACCCCTGTGAAAGACGAACTGCGAAAATCGAGGATGTAATGGTTCAAGCACATGATAAGGAGAGACATAGACGCTCCAATTAGGAGGTATGAGAGGTTGACCATGGCGGGTCTGAGGAAGGGTAAAGGCAGGCCACATAAGTACTGGGAAGATGTGATTACGCAGGACTGCTTCAACACACCACGGACATGACCCTCGATATGAAGGTGTGGAGGTCGAAAATTAGGGTCGGAGGTGGATAGGTAGTCGAGGATTTCTCCTAGTCTTACCAGTAATATTAGTAATATTCTTAGATTTTCTTGCTCCTAGATTCTTTTTATTACACATTGTGACATTCTTACTAGTAGTATTAGTACTAATCTTGTATTTCTTTTCTCTAGATCTTTGTTATTACACGTTATGTATTTGTTTTTTGCTATTGTTGTTATCTGTAACAACATGACCCGTCGTTTTGATCAATTGCATTTCCGTTCGGTGGTTCGACGCCGCGAGGAGCTTCATATGATGTATTATGACTTACGTGTATGGTCAGTTTCTATTTTCGAGTGGTTCGGGATTAATTTGGAAGAATGATTCTTATTTTAGAAGTTTTAAGTTGGAAGAGTTGATCAAATTTGACTTTGCGTATTTGATTTCGTATCGAAGTTTTGATGGTTCTGTTAGGTCCGGATGGTGATTTTGGACTTAGGCGTATATCTGGATGTAGATTTGGAGACTCATAGGTTGTTTGGCTTTAATTGGCGAAAGTTGGATAGTTGAAGGTTCTGGAAGGTTGATAGGCTTGACCGAGAGTAGACTTTATTGATATCGGATTCGGATTGTGGTTCCAAGAGTTGGTATAGGTCTGTTGTGTCATTTGGGACTTACATGCAAAATTTGAGGTAATTCCGAGTTGATTTGATGTGATTCGGCATGAGTTTTGGAAGTTGAAAGTTCATTAGTTCGTTAGGCTTGAATTTAGGTGTCGCGACCCAAACCGAAGGGCCGCGACGGGCACCCGGTGCCTTACTCAATCGAGTACCATATTAACGTATCTTTCTTATCGTACTGTCATTGTAACTGGGCCAACATGGCCACAACTCGTAATGTATAACTATAAGTGGGAAAGCATTGTATCAATGAACCATCTTTCTTCAAACACTATTACATATGGGCTGTCAAGGCCTCTGACAAACTGTACAAAATGAACCTCTGTCTACAAAGCCTCTAAGAGTATTTGACATCAATGGGACAGGGTACCGGCCTTCCCATAAGTCTGTAGCAAAATTCTGACACGATGACTCATAGACTCGGCTGCACTCCGAATGAAGTGGGGTCTTACCGATCCTTCGCTGAATTCTAACCTCATCTACTATGAGGGCTCTTCAAACTGATTGTTTATACCTGTAGGCATGAATGCAACGTCCCCAACAAAAATACATCAGTACGAATAATGTACCGAGTATGTAAGGCACATAAATAAGTATATAAAAGACATAGAAGAAACATGGAGTAAACGACTCGACCTGTAAGTCTGGATAACTCTGTAAATCATGAAATACTTATAGTGTTATGCATATGCGTATGAATGTCATGTCATGCATAGGTACATTTGTTCATAGCATCATCAAGCCTCTCAGGGCATCCTGATCGGAGCCAACCCTACACCAATATAGAGTGGCAAGAGCGATTGATGTAGCTTTTACCCGATAAGTCGGGATCGAATCCACAGAGAGCTAAGAAAGGTTTGGAATTTGGTTCCTATCTAATCTAGCAATGTGCGATGTTCTTAATTGCACTTCCAATCATTTCTTGTTTGTTCACTATTCTATTTTTATACTAATGATGCAAGAAAATAAGCTAAGTATGATATTTTTGTAGGATTTTCTTAATTGATGGAAAGGCACTAGGGAAGTGACTTACTCATAGGTGAGTATCTAACGGGATCTAAAATTTAGGGAAAAATTGTTATAGTTGGGATCGTGATGTAGCCAATGCACGAAACTACTCATCTCTATACCTCTCGGTAGTTTGAGTGACTTTGCCCTAACTGGCTTTCTCAAGTCCAATTGGGTGTTCAAACAGTGCAGGCAAAATTGGCTCATGTTGGGTATTACTATCTCTAGATTTAACCCTTTAATTGGGGCTATCATTCTCTTGAATGAGATAGAATGCACCCCAATTCCTTGTTGGCCTGAATTTCCTAAACTTGAGCTCTCTTTCTCAAGAAGAGCCTAAGTCAAAAAGGCGCAATTAATGTTTGCAACCACCAATTTAACATTTAAAGCACAAATCAGACCAAATATCATTCACCGATAAATATTTAAGCCCTAAAATAGAAGACCCATTAAATACTCACACTAGA